AGAGTGACTGGCCCAAAGTCACTGAGCCAGCTCTCTAGTGTGTTAGTGTGCAGATGAGCTTGGCTGATCTTGAAAAAGCTATGCAGATAAAACCTGAGAGAGAATCCCGAGGTATCCCAGCGCTGTAAGCCAAATTTGAAACTTGAAAAAACACCCAGCCTGGGGGTCAGGAGATGGGGCTGGGCCCCTACATTGGTGACAGTAACTTGTGACTGATGGGTCTGTTTTTACCCCCACTGCTGCTTTATGTATATTGGGTTTTTTTTTAATGTTTTAATGTTATTTTTAACACTGTTAGCCATCCATAGTCATGAACTTGAGATGGGTGGCCATATAAAATGAATGAATGGATGAATGAATGAAGCAGTGACAGCCACTTCCATGTTAGTATGATGAAAAGTAGTGGATTTAATAGGTATTATTTCCCTCCCCCTGCCATTTGGTAACAACCCATCAGCCTTGGTGCTGGTTGAGGATGTTATTCTAATCATGCATATTAGCTTTCCTTGACCCGGACTTTCCAGCATACTCCATCTGCAAGAGCCTTGTTTTGGTTGGGGGTGACCAGACTCATTCTGGACAACACAAGTTCAGGAAGGCTGGGGGCTTCAAATTATTCATGAGAATTACAATTGTTGAGAGGGGGATTCCAAGCCAAGAGAAACCTGAAATTTACTCCATACTAGAGTTCAAGAGGCCCTGTGTTAAACTTTTATTTAATGGGCTTAATGGCCCATTAATGGGCTTCAAGCAGTGTTATCAATGCCTTCCTCAAAAGGTACAGCTCTTAAAAGTTTAGATTTCATATGTACATAGTTCATGGAAGTTATGGGGATCAATGGCTAAACTTGTGACTGTCTCTGAAGGTCATCTGCTGGGAATCTAGTGGGCTTCCTTGTGCAATTGCTTGGACACCGTGAGAACAGGCTGCTGGACTAGATGGGCCAGGGGTCTGATCCAGCAGGGCACTACTTATGTTCTTATAGTTCAAGATAACCTATTTCCCAATAAAGATTAACCTAAGACTGTTTTACATTTCTCCCTCAGTGCAGCAAAAGTTGAATGTTCCCCCCACACAAGGCAGTTTCATGCAAGTGTTTAACTCAGAATTTCCAAAAGGATCATAGATCAAACAATAGAGTATGTGAAAGTGGAGACCCATTCATGAAAAATATCCTAGGTTCTTCTCCAGTTTTCTCCCCACTCTTCTCCAGCTTTTACAAGAAAAAAGCCCTGTCTGAAACCCTGGAGACGTGCTGCTGATCAGAATAGAGAATAAATGAGTTAGGCGGCTCCATCAAAAAAAAGTACCAATCAAAAGGCATTGGCTGTGTTCATATAGCACAATAAACTATAATTAGCCAACCACATTTTACCTTAGCATGTTGCATGTTATTAGTTTATGGTTATGCAAATCTAAAACAATTGGATTAATTGGATAAAACATGATTCAGTTAACTATAGATGGATGCCATGCAATCATAGCCATTGTGTAGGCCTTGTGTCTTTCTATCTTCCCCAGATTTTAGGACCTTCCGGAGAATACAATCACTGCCTCAAACCCAGAATTTTACAGGAGATTTGAACATGTTGCCCACATCATTTCTGTAATCATCATGATAATAATACCATCAATAGCTTAAAAGGAGTTGGACAATGCCTGTTGATGGATAGCATTAAGAGTTGCCCATGAAACATGGTTTGCAAGTGGCGGATATTGTCATTTGAAATTTTGCCTTCTTCTAAATGTCCCTGTATGGAGAACTGTACTGCATAAAAAATGTCTCATCTACAAACATTTTAAAGCAACTTTGTAAGTACACGGATACAGGTACTTGAGGTTTTCAAAAATTGAATTCTTTTAAACTAATGGTCATAATTTTGACCCAAAACACAGTAGCAGCTAAACCAAACCAAAACCAGGAACCTAACACTGGGTGAGAGTTCAGTTGTCCCTCATGCATTTTAATTATGAGAGATTTTTGCAGAAAACAAATGCATTTATTAAAGTGTATCATGGATTGCAAAAACTAAGACTCTAGTTTTTCATTCTTAAAAAGCAAACATTTCTACCTAATGTGATTGCAGACCTGGTTGAAAACATTTATTTATATATATGTATGCATGTATGTAAGTATGTATGTATGTTTAGAAAATACAATATTAGAGAAAGATAATTTTAATTCCCCTCCATGGGTTTTATGTATTTATGTTTTATGTATGTATGTATGTATGTATGTATGTATGTATGTATGTGGTAGAAAAACTTATACAGAGCATGAGTGCCACCCTGTGGCATATAAAAAAAAAAAGAAAACAATTAAGGAAATATTTATTTTTTTTAAGTACTTGGATATAAGACACACAGATTCTAGAATTGGTACAGTTTACTTTTTCTTTTGAATGTTTTTTTCCAAGCAGGTTAGAACATTTTTCTGCCTTTTCTTTTTCAAAAAAGAAAACTGCTATTAGATGTTCTGTTAAACATTTCAGTACAATAAAATTTATTGTATGAATCTATATTCAATTCACATGATAAATTTTGTTGTATTGCACAGTGGAATTTCTGTAGATAAGGGAAATGGTGACTTAAATGTACATTTGTGGAAGTAGTATAATTAGGAATAACGTTTGCATGTTGTTTAGGCATTTCCAACTCAGCAATTGTTAGGCAAACAAGCCTTTAAAGGTGAAGACTGGCTTCTTGCTTCAGCTGTGAAATTCACATGGATTTCTACAGATCAGTCACAAAATTCGAGAAGGTTCGGATGCCTTTTAGAACTTGCATGTTTTCCTTCTTGTGCACTTACTGTATGCTGAACCTAATGCAGAGGGGAAAAATATTTTTCTGTTGAAGTTGTATTCTGAGACTACAAAGGGATGGTAAAGCCTCTACCAAAATTAGATAAGACTCCCTTCCTTCCTTCCTTCCTTCCTTCCTTCCTTCCTTCCTTCCTTCCTTCCTTCCTTCCTTCCTTCCTTCCTTCCTTCCTTCCTTCCATTCTCTTTTTCCTCTATGCAAGCAAACTTTGGAGGGAAGTATAAATTATTCTTGCCAAAGGTTTGAAACAAACACTACCAGACAATTTTCCCAACCCATCCATCATTCTGCCTGTTTTAGATTTTTTTCCCCCTGTCTTCTCTGCTCCCATCTGTCTCTCTCTCCACCCCTCTCAATAAACTGAAAGCCAGTTTCCTACCCCATTTCAGCTGAAGTGTAGCTGCTAAAGATTGTAATGCTGCCATCCCTCCTTCTAGTTTATTGAATTTGGACCATTAAATTTCTAGCCATTGAACATGGGGAGACAATGCATGGCTCTTCAGGTATTGTAAGACTGCAACTCTCAGTAATCCTCATCACTGACTGTGTTGGATAGGGCTGACTGGAGTTGGAGTTCAACAACATTTGGAGGGTGGGGAGGAGGAGGAGAAGTCTAAAATAAGGATTTTGTTGTACGTTCAAAATGTGTTTGAGACCACACACACAGCTATAGTTATTTTTCTTGTATGGAAACAACTACACAAGCACATTATGCTAAGCCACAGTTTGCTTAATCATCATGGACTGTATAAACCAACACTGGCTACCATTACAGATCATATTAAGCTAAATACCATGATTTATAATATCCGAGGCAAGGTCCTGTAATGCGTTAAGCAAGAACCAAGGAAATCTTATAATTTAGTGCAATGCATGAATGTGGTGTCTGTATTTGTATGCAAATAGATGGGAACTTATTTGGGACCAGTTATAATGTCCCACCCCAGATAAACGGAGATACAAAGAACTGTAGAACGCTGGAGGCACTTGCTGACATATTGGCCATGGGTATAGGTCTTCAGTACTCCATTCACATAATGGAGTCTAAATTCTCTTCATTGTAATGAGATGTAATGAATATTACACTGCATGAAAGAAGGGAGGGTGCAGCTGGCTGAAAACACAAGCCACGGGTTGGTGTTTTTTACCTGAAGGCCTGTGCTCTGGTGTTGATAGTACTGAAGCAGTGATTTCCTTATCACTGCCACTGTGTCCATTCAGTGGGCTGTTGTAGTGTTTGTTTGGTATAAAGAAAATTAGGACATCTTAGTTGTGCTAATGCAGAAGGTGATATTCGTAGTAGCCTTTTATTAACCAGTTTGCAGGAAATAGGATGCATGCCATTCCATTTCATCAGATTCAGAGAGGGTTTAAAAAAAAAAATCTTTGGGTCAGTATCTCTTAAAATATAGCACTTTAAAATGCATACCATATAAAGAATAATAATTTCTAGGGAATAAAAATATCTCTGCCTAGCTGGCATCAAAAAGTTAATAAACTAGGTGCTATGCATGCCTTCGGGGAGGGCCTTCCAGAGTTAGAAAGGCGCTCGGAGAAGGTCTCACTGCCAGATG